GAAAGAGTCATCCCAAGAAAAAAATACAAGCTCATCAAAGTCAAAGGGAAAAGCTGTTTTGAAGCCAACCCAAGAAGAGGGAAGAGGACCTCAGACAAGAAATGCTGCTCGCAGAAGAGCAGCTCTGGATAAAGATGCTCAAATGAAGCCTGTAGATGCAGACTCTAGTTCTGAGGTATGCACTGAGCATTTTATTGAAAAATGGTGTACTAAAACATAAAATTCCTTATATGGTATGGAATTAACTACATATTTTTTTATTAGCTTTGGTCCAATTGATGATGACATATCTTTGCTTCTTGATGAAGCAGCTGAAAGCATTTTGCCTTTTTATGACCACTGAAGCAATTAAAAACAATGAATGAGTGCATATGTTTGTTTGGAATCTAAATAAGTTTTCTGAAAATTAGAACACTTGTTTTACCATGTCTTATTTCTTACTCTAGCAATGTGACTATTTTACTCTTCCTGGGTATAAATATGGTTCTCCTTTCATCAGTCCCCTCAACTGAAAACTGAAATAAAATGGAGGGAAAAAATGAGAATGATGTTCAATTTTTTAGGAATTCATCTCTGTTAGGGGGCGGCGGAGTTCTTTATTTCCACGCTTCACTCACTTTCCTTTCCTTCATATTGAACTTTCTGTTCTATGTGCAATAGGCCTATTTGCTTCTTGGAAAATGTTCCTCCATTTAACAAATTTCTTGGAAGTTGATATTATTTTTCTGCGCACTTAGATTCCCTCAATCTGATTGGCCTCTATTACTGAACAACTATAGCTTCCTTGTTCTTCCACATCTTTTCATCAAACTAGCGTCTTCTGGCCATTATTTTTCCTTGTTCGCTTTGAAATGTTGATCAAAACTCTTTCTAGATTTAAACATTTCTTTTATCTGTTATGCAGGATGATGACTTGGATATTTCTCCTGTGGAACTTGATGAAGCATTGGTGATTGAAGATGATGATATATCCGAAGATGAGGATGACGACCATGATGATGTATGCTTCTGTAATCCATTAACTTTTACATTTTTCCAGTGTCATTTGGTCTTCTTGAAATTGACTTCTAATCAATATTTAACTGATTGGAAGCTGCAACAATAGGTTACATAATTTTTTCTCTTCCCTTTTGTTTTTTTGGAGGGTGGTGGGTTGGTTAAGAAGTTTATGGTGATACCATGATTTATATTTTCATTTCAACAAGAGTCTGCTGGATATGTTGAAATGATATTTTGTTCAGATTCTTATTAATCACAAGAAATCCTAGTGTGGAACCTAAAAGCTTCTGATGCTCTTTCACACGCTATCATCTGTGTTCTGAAAATGTACAATTTTTTATATTTTATATTTTTTTTGGACAAATATGTTGTGTCAGTTTAATATACAGAACCTGTAACAAGGAGATGTGTTAGTATTTGCCAATATTGATCGGTAGGATGAGGTATTTGTTTTAATGTGTGTTTGCTTGAGGTTATGTTTACTTTGATCTGCGTTTATAGGAGTTTTTTCATTGTTGTTTTGTGCTACATGTTTGAGCATCTATCTAATTAGTTGGTATAGTAATTTCTATATGAAACAATAGGTGGAGTTGTTGCTGGAAATAGCTAATGCCCTTATCGCCCTCTCTAAATTTGTGGCTATATGTGGCTGAAATATTCTGCTAATAGGTTATCTGTCACTGATATCTTTATTGTTGGCAGGTACTTAGAGATGATTCTCTTCCCTTCTGTACGCCAGATAAAGTGCATGATGTTAAATTGAGTGACTCTACAGAAGATAGTGCCACTGCTACACCCAGTGATGGCCAGAATAATCCGCCTTGTAGTTCTAGCAACAGAGGTACTTCAGGGAGAGAATCGGATTCTGCTGAATTTAAGAGTGGTAGTTCTTTTGGTTCAAGAGGTGCAATGTCCTTTGCTGCTGCTGCTATGGCTGGACTTGCATCTTCTAATAGTAGAGGTGAAAGAGGAGGCAGAGATCGGCATGGACGATCACTTTTTGGGTCTAGTGATCCGCCAAGACTAATTTTTACGGCAGGCGGGAAGCAGCTTAATAGACATTTGACTATCTATCAGGCAATCCAACGGCAACTTGTGCTGGATGATGATGATGATGATGAGAGGTTTGGTGGCAGTGATTTTGTATCGAGCGATGGAAGTAGGCTCTGGAGCGATATTTACACTATAATGTATCAAAAGGCAGAAAGCCAAGCTGATAAGTCTTCAGTTGGGGCTGAGAACTTGGCAACTCCATCGAAGTCTACAAAAGCTAGTTTATCGAGTATATCCAGTTCAGATTCATTGCAGCATCGAGTCTCACTTTTAGATAGCATTTTGCAAGGGGACCTTCCTTGTGGTCTGGAAAAAAGTCACCCTATTTATAATATATTAGCGCTATTACGCGTACTGGAAGGGTTGAATCAGCTTGCACCGCGCTTGCGAGTACAAGGGGCAGTTGATAGTTTTGCTGAAGGAAAAATTGCTAGTCTAGATGCACTTAGTGCCATCGGCGTCAAAGTTCCTCCTGAGGAATTCATCAATAGTAAACTTACTCCAAAATTGGCTAGACAGATCCAGGATGCATTAGCACTTTGCAGTGGGTCTCTTCCTTCATGGTGCTACCAGTTGACTAAAGCATGCCCATTTTTGTTTCCTTTTGAAACTCGGCGCCAATACTTCTATTCGACTGCTTTTGGACTGTCTCGTGCATTACATCGGCTTCAGCAGCAGCAAGGTGCTGATGGTCACGGTTCAACAAATGAAAGAGAGGTAAGGGTTGGGAGATTACAGCGTCAGAAAGTTCGTGTGTCTCGGAATCGAATATTGGATTCTGCTGCAAAAGTTATGGAAATGTATTCCAGTCAAAAGGCTGTTCTCGAGGTTGAATATTTTGGTGAAGTTGGCACTGGATTGGGGCCTACTCTGGAGTTTTACACTCTTTTGAGTCATGACCTTCAACAAGTAGGACTAGAAATGTGGAGGTCGAGTTCGTCAGTGGATAGACCTTATTTGGAAGTAGATGTGGATAAACGGTTAGATGGAAAAGCTGGGGTTGATAAGGATATTGTCCAATCACCTCTTGGGTTATTTCCACGTCCTTGGTCACCCTGTGCTGATACTTCTGATGGTAGCCTATTTTCTAAAGTTACTGAATATTTTCGGTTGCTTGGTCGTGTTATGGCAAAAGCTCTCCAAGATGGAAGGCTTTTGGATTTACCTCTATCAGTTGCCTTTTATAAGCTTGTTCTCGGTCTTGTAAGTTAAAATTGCCGATGTTGACTGAAGATGAAGCATTAATTAGTTCTATAGGTTGAGTTAATTAACAATTCATATTCTATTAATTTCTGCAGGAGCTGGATTTGCATGATATCATTTCTTTTGATGCTGAACTTGGGACTACCTTGCAAGAAATGCATGCCCTTGTGTGCCGGAAACAGTATTTGGAGTCAATGGGTAGTCGTAGCCTCGACGATTTACGTTTTCATGGGGCTTCAATTGAAGAGCTTTGTTTAGATTTCACCCTTCCAGGCTATCCTGAATATGTTCTCAAACCAGGCGACAAGAATGTACACTACTCCTGTAGCTTTTTTCTTTTACTGGTAGCCCTCTGCTTGTGTTATGGTTACTTCTTTAAACTCTTTCTACTCTATTGTAATTCGCAGGTGGACATAAATAGTTTGGAGGATTATATTTCCCTTGTGGTAGATGCAACTGTGGGAACTGGAATATTGCGGCAAATGGAAGCATTTAGATCTGGCTTTAATCAGGTTTGCTAATTTATTTTGTCCAAGTCAACTTTCAGTGTGATTCCTTTTCAAAATATTTCTGTTAGTCTGATCGAATAACATATTTTCCTCTAATTAACATTTTTTTCCTACTATAGAACTGTCATTGCTTCAAAGTTTTGTTTCATAGCATTTGACTACTAAGCTCTAATTTGTCGACGGAGAAACTTATTTTCAAACGATGCTTAATATTCTTGATATGCTCGTCTTAATTGTGGCTAGAAGATTTGGCTATAAGATCTAGTTGGAGGATAGAAAATGATCTTTTCCTGTCATGTTCTGATTCTTGATTGTGATCAAGAAAAACATCATTTTTGTGCTTTATGATTTTTAGGTTTTTGACATTTCAACTCTACAAATATTTTCGCCAACCGAGTTGGACTATCTGCTCTGTGGCCGCAGAGAGTTGTGGAAGGTAATGAATCCCTCAGAATGACACTGTGATTCAGATGCAACTTCAGTTTCCTGCTTTTGCATGGTTAAATATCGTCTTTTTATGTAGGCTGAGACACTTGTGGATCACATCAAATTTGATCATGGATACACAGCCAAGAGTCCCGCTATTATTTATGTATGTCAATTCTCCATCGTCAACCCTGCCATCTGTTCCCTCCCCCAACAACAAAAAAGGGAAAAAAAGAAAAAAGAATGCTTCTTCCAATTTCTCTCTGGAAAATTTCTCTTAAAATTTCACATTTTCCAATAATGCCTAATCTCATGTCATCAGCTACTTGAGATAATGGGGGAATTCACTCCAGAGCAGCAACAAGCTTTCTGCCAGTTTGTTACCGGTGCTCCCCGGCTTCCGCCAGGTGGCCTGGCTGTACTTAATCCCAAGTTGACAATTGTTAGAAAGGTAAAACGCAATAAGCCAAGTATCAAATGCATCTAATGATGGGTATGTGCTATCAATAATATAACAAAACATGCACACTTTTGGAACAGCATTCTTCAAGCACTGGCAACACAGCACAAAATGGTTCTGGTCCATCTGAATCTGCCGATGATGACTTGCCAAGTGTCATGACATGTGCAAATTACTTGAAGCTTCCTCCCTACTCCTCCAAGGTACAGATTAGGTTAATGAAACTATCAGTTTAGCCTCTTGCTGCTTGTTACGTTTTACATGTGATATGAAGCATTTCTATACAGCTTGCTAATAATGTGGGAGACTAATAAAGTGTGCTCGCACTATTTAATAGGGAAAATTTTGGCATTGGTCCTCAACGTTTAATTGTAGTTACAAATCAGTCCCCAACAATAGAAAATAAATCTCTTCATCAAATAGTTTCTCGCGAGTCACATTCCCAATTTTAATTTCTGGGCACTAAACAAAATCTAGCTTCAGAAATTTCGATACGTGGGTTACTTTGACGATGGAAGGAAATTTGGACGAATTGTGTCATCAAGATAACGAAAGGTTGAGAATATCACCTGCTACTTGGGCAATAGTTTGATGGGGATCAATAGTGCAATATTCCCTATTTAACATGAAGTGTTTCCTAAGCAATCTGCTAAGTTATGGACAACCAATACCCGGTGACATTGGTCTTCTTTTCCATGGGACAATCACTATAAATTACCTAATAATTAATTACTCTCTTCGTTTCTCTGAACAGGAAATCATGTACAAGAAACTTCTCTATGCAATAAGCGAAGGGCAAGGATCTTTTGATTTGTCTTGAGTCTTCAAACTTATTGGCTGGATTTTCGATTTAATGTGTCAGAAGCCTTACCTTCCAGGGCAACCGACAAAATGGCTAAGATAAGGATTCTCTGCACTGCCGTTCATTTCTTGTAACACTGTAACTCAAAATAGAAGTTGGTAGTTTGATTCTTTACTTTTCTCAAAGCATTTACACAAGTTGCAATCATTGATAAACGGAAAATTTTTAATATAATCTTATCAGGATTTTGCTTTATTAATGTTGGGAGTTTTCCTTCAGATTGATGGGGTTATATTCTTGAAAGGGTAAGGAGGGATTTTTGGGTGGAGCTCTAGTGCCAGTGCTTATAAATGCGTAGGATAAATACTAAACCTAATCTTACTTTTTGTTAGTATATATAAGGGCATGCAGCCTCTTTCCTTTGATGGACGTACGTTTGGTAAAATGTTGGTCCATGGACATTTTACAATTATGTCAATAATGAATCAGGCATTGAAAGAATTGCATGAATGATCGACAGTTTGCGTGAAATCACGTCTGGCTTCTCGACTTATCTTTTCTCGAGAATTCAATTGTTCAATTTTCTAGAGGCATGGCGTACAATGAATTTATTGAAACTACTTGGATTAGAAAAGGCGGTGTTTTAAAAACGGGATTGGTACGGTTGGTTCAACTGGAAAAATTGGGAATCAGGATTGAAATCGGTTCGGTTTGACTTTTTTCTAGAGGCAAGGCGTACAATGAATTTATTGAAACTACTTGGAAGGATTAGAAAAGGCGGTGTTTTAAAAACTGGATTGGCACGGTCGGTTCAACTGGAAAAATTAAGAATCGGGATATCGGTTCGGTTAGACTTGTAAAACATCTAATTAAAAGTCTGCCTTAAAACCTGTTAAACCGGCCTCTTTTCGGAAAATTTGTGACCTGTTTTTGGGTTAATAGATTCAATTTATGTAAATTTATATTTTCCACAACTTTTAAATGTATTTTATTTTTGTTTTTGTAAATGTATATTTTTAAGTTCTTTAAAAATCATCGGTTCGACCTTGTTTCAACATTTGACCCTTTGAATTTTTGTCTTTTTCGGATCTATGGTCGGTCGACTTTTTAAACATTGAGAAAAAGCTACTCCCAACTTGTGCAGAAGTTTTCATGTCAGTCAGTCATAGCATGGGGGATGTCTAATGTTTTGCTGCCACAAAGCTGGCTAATCGTACCTACTGGCTAGTTGTACGCAGCAGGTCGAAAACAAAAGTCACTGGATTGCATAGTTTCTTTTCAAAATTGGTTTACCCAGAGAATAAAGTATATAAGATAAAGATTAATGTTATTTATACATTATGGTTCAAAATGGTGACATGGAAGAGAGAAAAAAATAGAGAAGGAAAAAGAAAATGAAGTCAGTTAAAAATCAATTATTATAATTTACATTATCATTCAAACAATGATGTACAAATGACATTATTCAGCTAAGTTCTACCATACAGTTGGAGGTGTGTGTTGGAATGTGGACAGCGGAATTAGAGTTATTCAGAAATTAAGAAAAAACTTCTTTAATTTGAGATAAGAAAACAAGATTGTCTTAGAATATCTAAGATTTTACAAGTCAATAAATCTGTAATACTTCTCTCCCACCATTTTGCCTTTTAATTATTCTTACTAACTTAAGTAACATTTTCTTCAACGATTCTATGAACTAATCTCACACGTCAAAGTTTAGCTATCGCTAAACACTACGCTTGAATTTTAACTGTTCAACATAAAATACTTAAATAGTCACTCTACCCATTGCGACGATCCCGACATGAATTCATGTTTTTTATGTTGCTCGTTCTCAAGCTCACAACTAAACGTGATATTTGACCAATTAAATTTATGTCTCCCATGAGTGAATCAAAGAATCATTATAGTTACGAAATGATATACATAACTCTGATAAAGCATTTATTTAAAATGCTAGGCGAATCAAGTGGAATTTAATTTTTCGTATGGTCATGTTATAGAATTAAACTCAACACGTACTCCATTTAATACAAGTGTATTGGTTACCTTTAACTATTTCTACGATAAGGACAAATCGCAAATTCGAATAACAAATCGATTATACCTACAATCTTCTAGTACAAGATGCCAATCCCTATACATTGGTTGTTAACAAATCATAATATAAGTTATGTCACACTTTACTTCTCAATGAAAACATCCAACATATTATTTCAAGTGTTCATAGGCCCTTTAAGTCGCTTGTTCAATAAAAAATGCAATAAACAAATAAAATCACAATTTTTTTATTTTAAAATATTATTTTATCACAACAAAATATACTATATAGAGACACAGTCCAACATCATGGACATGGAGGTGTAAGGGACCGAAAACCAAATACAACGCCTATTCGTGTTCAAGAATCATTTCATGCGTGGAGTTGTGCAATAAGTTTAAAGAATCGCTCAAGGTAGATTAAATGCTATACGAAATGGAGATGATCCAATTGCACCAACCATGATTTACTATGACAACAAATCAACAATATGAACTGGTCTCTCTCTTCATATAGAGAAACTTATCTTTGTGTAAACCTTTCGAAAAAAGATTTTGCTTACGGACTGATCCAAGAGAAACCTCTTGATTGGAGAGGAAATGTTGACCTTAATAGAAACTACAGATGACAGCTGCTTCAAATAATTTTTCATGGCCTTAAGACCAAGCGAGGTGGATTCTAAACTTCAATGCGTGGTAATTTTTATGGAATATATGCAAAGCTACTCTACTTGTTGACACTTACAAATGCAAATTTCAAATATTTCTACTGCATGTGGCATAGTTGATTTGGAGAATAACGCTTCATGAACTTAGTTCTTTCAAAAGTTGTGATTAATAACAGGTGATATAGACGAGTTGACGATTATTCTGACTGCGCAAAATGCATTATAAAAGGAGTTAGAAATGTCTTTTAGTTTGTACATCGTGGAAATTGCACATCACTTGCATAAAATATACTCGAAGATGATATTCACCATTGGGTTAGAGAACATTTCAAAGGGATATGGCAAAACATAATGATCTCCACCTATTGTCGAATAAATCAACCTTTATCGCTCGAGTGGCGTGAACCCAATTCTCCTGCTCTTTTAGTCATTAGGCATGTCTATTGGTTGTGGACTCCCCTGGAAGCTTTTTGAGTCATAACGATATAACTATAATTATCCTTGTACTGAAATGACAGTGATGTCGTCATGACAATTTCACAATAGCTTTTAACTTTCAACATTTTGAAACAACAAAATTTGGTATAAATTACAATCTTGAGAGAGACCTTGATCCGGCTCCATGGAGGCGTTCACATAATACAACATGATAAGTGTATTTTATACACTTATTCGGGGTCCTAAAATATCGATATTTGGTAGTTATTTCGACAAAATATATCCTAAATTATTATATTTTATGTTATATAGGTAAAATTCAATAATTGAACGATGAAGCAATAGAAATAAGCAAAAATTGGTGAAAATGGCAAAATCCAAAGTTTAAGGACCAAATTGCAAATATTCAATAGTTGATTCGGACCACAATCCGCACGCGAAGGCAACTTTTTTTTTATTCAATTGGAACCCTTTTGGAAACCAATTTGGACATGATTTTCGATCAATTTTTTACTCCTACAAATACCTAACAGCAGAACATATATTGGGGGATCTCTCATATATATCTCATACTCCAATATTTATCAATTATTATCATCAAAGAAGAAAAATTCATAATTTTTGTGAGAGAATTGAATGGGACTTGTAAAAATTCCATCAAGTAGAGATTTAAACTTTATTTTTTTGGGCAAAGAAGAGAATGCGCAAGTGGAGATTCATCAAGAAACCGTTGAAAAGATTCAAAATTTCAAGATTCATCTTCATCTTTTCAATTTATCAAAAATTTGGGTTATTTATTTTCACTTGAATATGATTTATTGTAATTTCGATATGTTAAGACTAATTTTATGCATTGTTAGGATGAGATGGACCCTTGTTATGATTTTTTTAATTTTTAATTAATTATTTTGATTTTAATTTGATTTGATTTGTGGATGTTTATTATCGTTTTATCGTTCTTTTCTACTTGATCATCGATTGAATTGTTAGTGGATTTTATTGTTATCGAAAGAAACAATAGTATTTAAGCACACTATAATAAATAATATAAGATTCGACAGATAATAGAGATAAACTTCTATATTTTATATAGTTTCAATAGGTGTTCTAATACTTTTTAATATATTAATCATATTTGTATCTTTTATCAAGAGATATAAGGATCACATGAGGGGAATATATTTGATCGCTATCGAGAGAGGCTTTCAATTAAATTAAGAACATTGACCAACATGAATAATTTCAAATTGTCACTTTAATTGTTACATTAAAAATGGAATAATGGGGGGACTCGACATTTTAGCAATGCATCTCACTTATTTAAAAACACATTTACTTACTTTTATTAATTTAATTGATAATTCAAGTATTAGTATAGAAAAATCACAAAATTTGTTTGTTATTCGATTAAAGTTGCAATTAATTTTAATTCGGTCAAGCATATGTTCTCGTGGGTTTGACACTCTATTCATCATTATATTACTTGACCAAGATCCTATACACTTGCGGGTTTTCAAACGATCAAGTTTTTAGTGTTGCTGTCGTGGACTATTGTGTTCGATAAGTTTAGTTAATTTTAGTTTTAATCTGAATTTTAATGTTTTTTAGTTTATTTTATTATATTAGAAAAACATTACGATGTTTCCTACTACTTTCTCAAGACCTTGTATGCAAAATTTGAAAATTGGTGATTTTACTCAATTTGACCCAGAGATCGAACAAACATTCAACTTTCGAAAAAGACGACAATTGGAAACACACCAACAACAGAAATAGGAAGACATGAGAGAGGAAAATCTGAATCAAGTAATCATCGGGGCTAATCTGGAAGCAGCACAAGCGAATGTGGTTGCAACTAATGAAAATGCAAGG